CATCACTAGAATCAGATTTAAAGGCAGGAGGGAAGGACTGAGGTGGTACAAGAAGTAAGTTATGATCTGGAAGGGGAAAAGAGGGCTGTGCAGACAGGTGAACTATTCAATGAGACTGGCAGGAGCAGACCCATGTTTGTATGGCATGTGAGGTTATAAATTTTTAAAAATTGTCACAAAAGTGAATATTTATTTAGAATGAGAAAAGAAATAACTACTCATATTTTTTAAAGCTGACATGGCTGACAGACTTTTTAACACAGTTTTCTACATTTTTTATCTGCGTACTTTTTGACCACCTGTTCAAGTGACAATTAGGTCATATCTCCTAAAGAGAGAATGGAAAAGCAATTCAATCTTTCTTCTAGCATGGTTGGCAGATTTGGAGGTCTTATTACTGATAGATTCTAAAAGTTGCCTTTAATTTCACAGCGTCTGCTACATAATGTCACGTAAATTTTTAGCGTTTACTTTTTTCATATTTGACAGTCTCTCATGAAGTTTCTTTCATACATGACTAGTTCCTGGTTCTGTACTTTTCAAGCCTTGTTTCTCTCCACTGCCTACATACTTCCAGTGCCAAGAACACATTCACATCACAATACGTCCCTGGCCTTGCACCTTCAAATCCAGCTGCCACTATGGGGAGCAATTCCCATGTAAGAACAGTAGTTTTGGTTGCGAAACCACATGTTAAACATGGAACTAACATCAGCAGCCTATTTCTTTTTATAACATTTCTCTGTAACCAAGTCACAAGACACTGAAGCATTTAGGGTATCAGCCAAGTCTACACCCACTTTTAACTGTACGTTAAATGAAGTAAATCACTTGAGTTTGCCAATAGCTTCCTCCTCACCAGAGCCACTGCTTCTTGTAATCTGGCTTTTTCCCAGGTCTTTTTAGACAGCAGTACTTACCAAAGTGTCATGTTATTCAGAAAAATCAATGAAACATTAGATTATATTTGTTTCAATAAGTAAATTCAGACTCAGCTGCCAAACAAGAAAGGCATTCCTTCTAATGCAAACCAAAATCAGTTTTATTTAATTTTTTTATTTTTTTAAAATATATCTTTATTGATTTCAGAGAGAGGAAAGGAGAGGGAGAGAGAGAGAGAGAAACATTAATGATGAGAGAGTCATTGCCAAAATCAGTTTTAAAAAGACACTGTTCACGGAGTGCATGCGCTTAACCAGAATATCCTGTATTCAATGCTACACACAGCCATGCGGGCAACTGCGGATGTATTCATTTGCAGGCAGTAGGGGGACAACCTACCATTCACATTATTTCATCCTTATAAAATGTAATGTTTTCCCATAAACTAAACAGTTTCCTAAAGAATTGATCATAGTTTCCAAAGTGCCTAATATAGAAGCCAGATTTTGAAATCACGACATAAACAGTATTTCCATAGAGTTCATTGAAAAGCATCTGTTTACACTATTCTTAGGATGGTTATGAAATTTCCAATTTGTGTCACAATGATTTTATAAAATTAAAAAGGGCTGAATTTAATAATTTATTAAAACATGGAGACCTAAAAATACCTCTTTATCACTTATTTGGTGATCATTTCCTTTAGGAAATTCCTATAGAAAAAAATGTTTGGAAGTTCAAGACAAAATAAATATGTTTCAAAACTCCCTTTGATTACAAACAATAGTAAAACATTACTTAAAGGCATCTATTCTCAATCTTGGGTGCATATTAGAAACACCTGGGAAGCTTTTAAAACTGCTAATGCCAAGGCCACACTCCAGACAAATTAATTAGAATTTCTGCATATAAGAACCAGGCATCAGTATACATAAGGGTCCCAAGTGATTCTTGTATCTGTTAAAAGTTGTGAACAATTGCTTTACAGAATATTTACAAACAGCTGGCAAGAACAGACAAGAATACATTTAAGAATATTTGCTATAATTTAACTCAGAGGGAAAAGCTGTACAAAGTACCCAAGTCATTCCCACACTCTCCAGATGGCAAGAGATCCTCAAAGTAAAAAGAAGATTCAGGGTAAAGATTATTTCAAGGATGTGGCTATAAAGACTTTTTGTTAAGAATTCAAAAAATTGACCCTCTCCACTAGACAAACAGGTAACTAGATTGGGCCCACCTGGCAATCCAGAATAATCTTCCCCCTCAAGTACTTAACCTTAATCACATCTGCAAAGTCCCTTCTGGCATGTAAATTAACATACTCACAGGTTCTGAGCGTTAGGACTTGGACATCTTTGGGGCACCCTTTTCTACCTACCATAATCCTAAGTGCTCTAAGCTTTCTGTTCTCCTTTGTAATGGGAATATCTACTGTGGTGACCCTATCTCTGTCCTACCAGGGTATGTGTGGGG